GTCACATCGGAGACGTCGGCTGCGAACTGACGCAGCGACTGCCCCGATTTCTGTTTCAGGCTAGCATAGCGCCGTTCAGCATCGGCGCGGTTCACGTCACGTGCGAAGCGAAGCTTTAGGGCCGAATCCAACGACTCAAAGTCAGTCCGCTTCCTGTCGGGCAGGTGCCGCAGCACTGCCTCCGCGTCCTCAGTGAGGAGCATGGACAACTCGAGTCCCTTGCGGCTCTCTGACCAGCGCTCCTGGCGCGCGTGCTCCAGGAAGCGGAACCTGAACAGAGCATAGTCCGCCTTGCCCGTGTACATGGGCAGACGGCGGCTGCTTCCCCCGCGCCTGTTTCCTAGGGCTTGAACAAGCAGGCTGATCGCCGACCTAGGGGACGGCGAGCGGGAGCGGGAGCGCTCACGGCGGCGCGAGCGTTCACGGCGGCGGCCACGTTCCTCACGGTCGCGGGAACGGCTCCTGGAGCGGCGGGACACACCGCGGCTCCTCGACCTTGAGGGAGAGCGGCGTGCACGGCCGCGAGACAGGCTCCGGGAGCGGCGGGACAGACCGCGGCTCCTGGACCTGGAGTCAGAGCGGCGAGCACGGCCACGGGACAAGCCCCTGGAGCGGCGGGACAGACCGCGGCTCCTGGACCTGGACCTGGAGTCAGAGCGGCGAGCGCGGCTACGAGACAGGCTCCGGGAGCGGCGGGACAAACCGCGCCTCCTGGACTGCTCAGGCTGCACCCGCCGTTCTGGACGGCTCTGGGAACGGGAGCGCGAGCGGCTCCTTGAACGTTCGTCTAAGTGCGCATGGCGGCGGGCTGACCGCGACCTGCTGCGGCTCCTGGACTGGCGCAGCTGCGAGCGGGACACACCGCGCTCGCGGCTGGCTGAGCGAGACCGCCTGCCTAACCTATGCGAAGGCAAGCCGGACACACCGGGCTCGCGGCTCGCGGGGAGGACAGGAGCCGTGTTCGGCAGTGAGAGGACGACCTGACGGCGGTCAGCCTGGGGCCGGGACAGACCGAGCCCCGAGCTGCCCGCCAGGATGGACTCGAAGTTTCCAGTCGTGGTGCTGGTAGGGCGGGAGCTTGGCCTAGTCGTCGTGCTGCTGGTCAGCACGCCACCGACGCTACTGGACACTGCCGCACGCGCAGGCGCGCGCACGAACATGCCAGTTTCGGGGCAATACATCATGGCTCCCGACCCAAAGCCAACCTGGAAAGGCTGCTCATCTCCTGAACCCACGTTGCGTCCCGGCTGTGTGGGTGCCGTCCTAGCCGAGGGGCGCGACGGGCCGAAGGTGAACCCGCCGGTGCCGGACCGACCAGGCATGGTTCCTTCACTAAAAGCGAAGCCAGTGAACATAGGCGGCGCGGCAGAGGCCGAGGTAGCCGCCACGGTGCTGACCTGTCGGGGGCCCTCGAGGCCCTCGAGGCCGGGCACTGGTGGGCAGCTTGTTTCAGCTGTCCCAGCCAGAGAGGCAGCTATGCGCTGCATAAACGGCGAAACTGGTGGTCTGGTTGACGCGGGCCGGTTGGCTGTTGAACCGGGAGTACCGCTGCGCTCTCGCAAGCGGGAGCTCCTACGAGTAGGCGTTCTCCTCGTCGCCATCGCCAACACAGTGTTTTGCGTCGCAAAATTGAACGTGCAGTTCGTGAACGTATGCGCAGTGAGTGCACCAGCAGCTCGACCTGGGGTCGGTGCGCTCCGGCGGCGGACAGACCGCGCCAGATTGGACCTTTCCTCAAAGACGAGCGCTTAACGTGTGTTTTCCAGGACCGAGCAACGACACCGCGACCAGAGGTCAAGCGGACAACAGCTCAAGGCCCCGGACAGAGTACTGGCGGCTCCAACACCACGGCCTAAACCGAGGCGAAGGAGGGTCCAATGGGAACAAACCGCAAAGGAGCACACGTACCGCCGGCAAGCGTCCACTTGCCGCCTCCAACACACAAGCACACACACTAAACACACAAACACGAACTAACCTCAATTTAAATTAGAGGGGCTGGACAAACCAGCTCACTCTACCGGAGCGACGAAATCGGCACGGATCGCTGAGCGACAAACGCTACAGCGAAAATTCAATAAACGAGAGGAGCTGGACGGACCAGCTCACTCAAAAGGAGTGACGAGCTGCACAAGAGCGACAAACGCTACTAGCAGACTCGACCTGAGGAGCCGGGAGAACCCGCTCACTCAGTCCTTCCCCTCCTCCGTGCTTTACGCGCTGCCACCAATGTTGTGTAGCGTGTTCGCAGCAGAGTAAAGGCGTTCGGAAGGAAAGGCAAAGGTACAGGAACAATCAGGTTTATTTATCCAATAGATTACAAGTCACCAAGACTCGACGGACTCAACGCGGTACGGTACGAAACGTAACGGGACGGTAAGATCAGGACGACGTCTTGACGCTACGAAGTCTGACACAGGAGTGAGAGCGGGCCAGGGGCCCGCGCGGCGAGGAGCCGAGCTCGGCAGGCGCGGCTCGTCAGGGTTCGGTCGGCTGGCCGGCACGGCCGGCCAGAGCGCTCTAGCGGCGAGGAGTCGAGGCGGCCGGGAGCGGCCGCCAGTTGAGGTGCCTATCTCGCGCGCCAAACGCAGCGAGATTCAAATGCTCAGGGAATGACAAACGCGTGTGTGATCGCACATCACAACAATATATATATTGCGGCAACAATAACAATAACAGCCGTCAAACAGCGAGGTAGCCGTGGAGCGCGTCCAGCCCCGGCCGCAGAGATACCCCGGGCCGAGCGGCGCTCGCTCCAGACGCTCTCAAGAGGTGATGGCCAGGCACAATAGCCCTGGAGCCGCTCCGCTGCGGCCGCGGGGCCCGCGAGCACCGAGCCGGCGTGGGTCATCGACATATGACTTGCCCCTCGAAAAGCTCAAGGCCGTCTCTCTCTCTCTCCCTCTCGCTCTCTCCCAGCATTGCAAAGCGTGGCTACGCCCGTCTGGTATGCAACATCCTTTCGAATGGTCCCATACATCAGCGCCCCGTCAGCCTGCCACAACAAACGTCATTCGCTGTCTCACTCGCTCGCCAACTTTATGATATGTACGAGCCGCATGACGTGCGCCACTCTCCAGGTCGCGTACTACTTCATGGCAGTTTTTATTAGACATTATTATTTGCTTTGTTCGAGAACATGTCTTTTGGAACGCCACCGGTCGTACCGTTTTGCGATATCCCAGAAATTCTGCTCAGACAACGGGCGGCGAGTCGATGTTTTCGAGAGAGATCGATGTTATTATGCTTCCCCGCACTGCGAGCGATTTGTTAGCCTCTCACTTTTCTCTTTCCACAGTGATAAAACGCCTTGACCACGTCGAAAACAAATGCGGTCGTAGAGAAAAATGGAAAGGTTACCTCTCTCTCTCTCTCTCTCTCTCTCTCTCTCTCTCTCTCTCTCTCTCTCTCTCTCTTCTGGACGAATATTCAAATTTGCCGCGTCAATACAGTTGCGTCGTCGGTGGCGACCGTCAGGAGGCTGGGATTGCGGCCGGAGCGCTTTCTGCTGCGCGCGCTGCGCGTCGCGGCCCCGATGTGTCGTTCCGTTCCGCCGACTGAGTGCCTTACTGTGTCGCCGCCGGCAGCTCTTTCGTTTTCACCGACCAACGCCTCTCAAAACTCAACTCGCCGCGCCTTTGAGTAATGACCACGCGCGGACCCTTTTCTACGAGCGCGGCAGAGCAGATTTTTCTGAACGTTTTGTATAAATTTTGTAATGGAAAACCATCAATAAAACCGCATCCGCGAAATTTGTCACCTGCCGCCGCCTCCCGGATCTGCTCGCCGCGCGGCGAAATTAATACCGGCCCGGATCCGGCGGCTGAATCAATATCTTGATGAAGTGGGGCACCTGTGGATGGAACACGCCTGCGCGGCGCTGGAGCTGGAGCGGCCCTGGATGGAGCCGGACTGGAGAACTCAATTCATCATAAAGCGGCTAGGGCAGGGCCGGGCCACCTGCGCAGCTGCGGCAAAAGCTGTCCTTCACACTGTGGGACTGGTCCCCGAGCGGCGGCGCCACTGCAGGTCACCTGCAGGTGTCGCAGGGACCTCCAGGCAGGCCCACGCCCACATGCACAGCTGCAGCGAGCTCACACTGCGGTGCGAAGTGCGGCACAAGTTCAGCCCCCTCCCCTCCCTTCCAGCGCGCAGCCACTGCAGGTCACCGGCAGGTGCCGCACGGCAGGGCCTCCCACACCTAGGCAGGCCCGTACTTTTCGCGTCGATGGCAGCTGGATCCGAGCTGCTCCAGGCGTTGCTTCAAGAAGCCTCGTCTTCTCCACTTCCTCCAGGCCACAGGCGCCCGTAGGCCTCCGGGGAGGTACTGCTCTAGTCCTCGATCTCCGAACCACCGCCGACTCGTCCAGCAGCAGGTGCGCGGTGACATCACCGCGAGCCAAATTCCCGCCTTCCTTGTCGTCCCCCGTCTTCCTCCTGAAAACACGCGGCAAAGTTCGGCAATCCCGCGGCTAACGGGGGTTCTGCCCGCCGGCCTCGCCCCGGCTTGCCCGTCTCTCCGCGTCGACGCCGAGCGTCGTGGCGTGGCGGAGCGTTGCGCGACGCGTCCCTTTTTTGTTGTGTCCTCGACGCCTCCACGCCCCGCCACGCCCCGACACGGTTGGCCGGACCCCATCAAGCTGCCGCAGAAGTATGCAAAACGATAACACTCCGCTTTAGCGCGCCACCTCTTTGGGCGGAGTGTACGTCCTCTCGAGCTGTCTAGGCGACGCCGGGCCGGGCGGGCAGTGTGCGGGGGCGCCGCGCGCCGCAGCGGGACACCGGTGTCAATGGCAGCGCTGTCACGCACCCGCGAGCACACACATCCCATCTACCCCCCTCTCTTGCCCTCTCCTCCCA